GATACTATAGAGATGGCATGTTTGGTTTCGTAAGCTTGGTTGAATGCGTTGGGTAACTTTCCATCTTTCTTACAAGGTATCTGCTACTTTGATTATGGATTGTAAGAAATAGTTTTTTTTTTTTTTTTTTATTGTGATTTGAGTGAAAGTTTACAGAGCAATTTCATTTTCCATATAGCAGTTCATTCACATTTTGTCTCATGACATTGAAAGTAATTTCCCACAATGTAAGAGCTTTTGGATTATAAGCTATAATTTTGAACCAGGATTTACATGCCTATGAAAAGATGTAGCAGGATTATCTGTTTTATGTAGAAAGAACTGGGCCACTCCAGCTGAACTGAAGTTTCTGTACAAATTCAGTTATGAACTAATCTCTAGGGGAAAAAAGACCAGTTTATAGGGACAGAGAAGTACTAATCTAGGTTGCCATTTCTCAGAATGGATTTTCAGACTACTTGTACCATAGTCATCTCAATTTTTGTATGATGAGGTCCTAAAACCTCACAGTACTTATTTATTCCTTTTTGTTACTTACTACATCATTCAGCTCTGTGATACATGAAAATTAATTTTACAATGCAGTGAACTTAACATATTCAGTTCACTGGATGTGTTTCAGGAATTTTCATACCATGCAGTTTGCATTATAAGGAGCAGGTTACAATTACAAGGAGGTTGTATGCTCTTAAGGAAAGAACATCGTGTCCTTATGTACATGGTGGTATTCTAGAGGTTCTTTCCATTGGAACCATGTTATAATGAAAACATCACAATGTAAAAAATAAAATAAAATTACAGTGTGAATGTTTTCATATTCTGATTGCATGCAGATATACTGAATTCAGAAGAAAGTTCCTTTAAATGTGAATCAATCTTTGAGAATCAACCCATTTCATTTAAGAATGCAACTGGATGATTTTTGTTATACAGAATTTTTCCTTCCCTCCTTCCCTTCCTCCCTCTCCCTCGTCTTTCCCTCTCTCTCCCTTTCCCTCTTTCTTCCCTCTCACCCTCCCATAAAGCCTTGCTGTTAAACAGTCATGTTAATAATTTTATTTAAGCACAACCATGTTTTCTTTGCTTATAATACTACAGTTATATTTAATAATATTTCAGTAACCACTGACATAAAATTTCAGTTCAAAGATTTAAAAACTAATAAATCTTCAAGCATTTTTAGAAATAGAATAT